AATCTTAGGGTGCTGTTACCTAAATGCGTATTGAGAAGAAGCGCAAAGTGGAGTCAAGTGACATTCAGATGTTTCTGTCCCAGGTCACGTTTAGAGAAAACTGCTGAAATAATGGAAGGGTATTTTTCAAGCCGAGCTGCAGCTCCAACAACTATGTTTACTTTAACGCTTCGCTATTGACTTCTGATTGGTTGTCATGACTTCATCTTACTTTGGCACCTAAGATGTTGCATCAGTGACATATGCATACCTTTCTTGTGAAATGATGAGAATAAACATAACATTCCAATAAAAAATAAATGAGAATAAACATAGCATTCCAATAAAGAAGAACGGACAGTGCCTAGGTTACTCATTTTAACCATGGGTAGATGTAGTTTATGGATTTAAACATTTGGAGTTCCATTTCCCTTGTGGATAAACACTTATCTTCTTTCAGTCCAAGCGAATAGAATGTTGAGCCTGAAAAAATATGATTGACCAATGTAGGTAAAATTGTCTGTTACAGGGTTTTACTTGAAGACCATAATGAGTAGTTCCACTGGTCTTGAGATTTTAGTGTAGCCCCCTGACCTGGCACATGTGAATTCCTCTTTGGCAGGTTAATATGCAGAGCTGAGTAATTTTAGCTGATTGTTTTTATTTAGCTACCAATAAGGGATTTGAAACATATATAATTTAACCTATTTTCCATGCTTCTTTTAATTGGTAATCAATTAAATTGGCTAAATCTTTAGATCTGTGGAGTTTCATTTTGGGTCAAATGTACAGTCTGGTTTTGCTTTTAGGTTTTATCTCTGCAAATTCTTCTTGATGAGTACAGTGCTGTACTGATTTCATTCTTCCAGCAGTTTCCTCAGGTTCTTTGTATTTGACATCACCTGTCTGTTTTATGCCTCTGTGACCTAAGTCATCATTTGTAGATTGAATGTTAAATACACTATTATTTATTAGTAAGCACATTTAAGACTTCAAAGTAGAATCTTAAGGCCTATGAATTTTATATAAATCACAGCAAGTGTTGTATAAAATGCCATGTCTAGCACTAAACTTGTGAAGCCTTCTGATTAAGATCCTGTAATTTAGACCTTGTAAACACAGATCTAAAAATGAATTTACAGTTATAGCTACACAAGTACGGAAATGGAACTAAGATGAATTAAACCTTAATTTTTCCTATATCTTTTCTTGGTGTTTTCTTGTCTTGATATTCTACTAGACTATATACTATCAAAGTTAATAGTTAACTTTATATATATATATATATGTATATATATATATATATATAGAGAGAGAGAGAGAGAGAGAGAGAGAGAGAGAGAGTCAGAGTCTCTTTAAAGGTTGCCTTTTGGAATTGATTTTGGTACATCATTACAAAAGATGCCAGAAGTTTTATGTATTTAAGGAGTAGAATGTTCAATAATCAGTTCTATCATTTTATCTTGTTAAAGATAACAGAGGTTTCCCATGTGTATTTGAATGATGCAACACAACTTCCCATCCTATGGTAATTTAACGTATTTTAAGTAATTAAATATAAAAAGAACACTTCAATTTAAGGTTTAAGATTCAAAGCCTAAATTATAAGGATTGCCTTATTAGAGAAATAATGCATAATTATTTTACAGTAACTTTATGCAGTTACTTTTACAGTAACTTTAAAGTTTTAGGAAACTTTACATTAATTAAAACTCACATTAGAAGCCTTTTACTTAGGTGGTTGTGTATTGATTGAATTCTTTAAAAAGTTACTATAAAAGTTGGCATGTACTTTGATTTGCTAAAAGATTTTTTACACTTTTCTATTTCAAAATAATTATATGTCCTTATACTGTTTTACTTTCCCTGGCTTCTTAGTTATCATATATTAATATTTATTTTGCAAAGTAAGTGTTTTGTATCATATAAAGAGATTTGGGTATTGTTATATATGGCAGAAAGGAATGAAATGATAATGTTTCACTGTATGTGTATACATCAATTAAGATATGAAGAAAACTACTTGAGGAATACTAATTTGCTTCATGGAATAACAATTTAATTTTCAGTATTTATTAAAAATCAACTCATATTTAAGTATATATTCCTAAATATTTATTGATTGCTATTTAGTGTTAGAAACATTCAAAAGATAATTTTTCATACTTTTTTATTATTTTTAAGAAGTTATACAAAGAAATTGCCATTTAGCAAAGCAAATCATCAGTGGCTCATGCCTGTAATCATAGCTACTCAGAAGGATAATTGTTTTTAAATACTTTAAGTGGAAACATTCATTGTTGATATCTAAATAATTCAAACTCCAGCCAAAAAATAAAAGAAATCTAAGTGATAAAGGTTGTTGGATTTATGTTGCAGTGATTGAAAAATAGAATCATTTTTCTTTTGTTGATGCCTCAGTAAAAATTTGACATTGTGCCTTTATAAGATTGAACAAATGAGCTTTGCAATGTTCAATTATGTAATCAATAACTTAGACAAATGGTACTTTTTTGAGAATTTATGTTTAACTATTTCTTGTATTTATTTTTATGGAACACATCAAATTTCAGAGGAGTTTTTTGAAATTCATGTGGGCACATCAACTTTTCAACACGTGACTTCTAAAAGTCAAGTGCCAACTTCTTTAATAAGCCTGATATTATAAAGATACTATTTCTAATGATTAAGTTATAAATTATCATGATAAGTTTTAAAAAAATTCTGATGATTATTATAATTATTGTTCAGAGATTTGTCATTCATTATGAAAAGATGATGCACATTATATTGATTAACTAAAGTCCATTTTATTACCTGGAGTTTAAATTTTTTTATTATCATTACATTATAGTAATTATCAGGATTTTCTCCTCTGAGAATTGTACAATTCTGTTAGGGGCTTGCTAACTCTGTGTGTGTGTGTGTGTGTGTGTGTGTTGAAAGTTCAGTTCACTCACAGAAAGCAGGGAAGAAACATGACAAGAGACCACTTACTCACAGTACAAAATCTAGAGAGGAGGCAATTTTCCTTTTGGCCTATGGTGACCTTTTTTTACTATGTTCCTTACACCAGAGACAGTGTACTGAATGCCTCTATTTCATCCTGTTTAGCAGAGTGCAACAGTGTTCTTTAGCTTACTTATGGTGGGAGGAGAAGTTATAGCTGAAATTTGAGAAGGGCGTGAAAAGTTATAAGAGGCACAAGGAAGAGGGGGTAGAACTTATTTCAAATGTGATTTTAATAACTAGTCAAGTGTGTCCAACTGTAGAAAATCACCAAGTGACAATCTGTCTACCTGACAGTGATCACAATGAATTACAAGACTTTTGAATAGCTTTACAGATTAGAATGAAGCAAGACCAAATAAAATATCTTTTGTTGGAAAAACTTTTGACTTGCCAGCTAAGAAACTTTAACATACACATACACACACACACACAATAGTTCTTTTGCTTTGAAGTAAAATGTTTAAAAGTTATGAGAAATATTTTATTAGTTCTTTATGAAAGGAGCATTTATCTAAAAGTTTTATTTGAACATCTGTTCATGAATGTGTGGTATTTTGTTAATCAGTTTGGTATATATTATCACACAATTTTCACATACGTTGGATGACTATATCTTAATTAATGGCCTTGTCACTAAAATCAGAACTTCAGTAATCTTGAAATTTTCCAAGACATTCATGGTTTTAGGCAGTAATATCAGATTAGGGGTAAAATCTTAGTGAAGTTTGTAAAGAGTTTGTAAAATAAACTGTTTTTAAAAAGTGAACAAGTAGCATATTTTAAAAAAAGATTATTCTGTGCTAACATTGATTTTTGTTCCTGGTTTTGTTTTACTACTGCTGTTTTTAAAATCATCTTATAGTTTGTTTGGAAAGAAATCAAGTTGAACTTAAAGTAGAATTGAAGTAGAAGGTTCTATGATTATAGTTTTGAAAACCATATCCTTTTTGTGCTCATGGAAATTTTATAAGCTTTATTTTCTATAACTTATTTTATCATAATATTACATCTTTTAAGAATGACCTTGAAGGATTTTACAAGGATATAATTGGAAATCCAACAATACAGAATTGAATAGAAAAGACAGATATATAATAGCTTCAAAAATTTGCATTGCTCATGCTTGTCACTGGCTATTGTTTATCCTTTTCTATTTCTTATGGTTAGGTTAGTCCATTAGTTATAAAGAAAACATCAAAAGTCTTCTTAATTATAGCCATAGAAATTTTTGCCTTACTACAAATAAATAAGACATGACAATATATGTTTTCAAAAAACTTAAAACCTTAGAAATTCAGATAGCTGTATTTTTAAACTTTGAAACTTTACGCATAGTTTCTTGATACTATTTTTTACTAAACAGAAAATAGTGTGGTAGTTTGAAATATTAAGTAAATTTCAAGATTAAAGATATGCAGTTATCATACATCATAGTATTGGTTGACTTATTTCTGTGGTTTATCAGTCTTCTTGAAAGAAAAAAGGTGAATAGACATGCGCAGGTAGACATTATACATTTCTGATACTTAGATATGTAAATTTATGGCATGTGAGACCAGATTTATTCCTTTTTTATTAATGTTTCTTACTTTTGCAACAAATTAAAATGCTCATTACAGAGCAACTGTAAAAAAAAATCCTAGAAATGAAGTTTAAATTATAGTTTTCAATTTCAAAACAGTTATTTTCTCAAAGTATGCATTATAAACATTAATGTTCTTTGAAAGTATACTTATTGTATTACATTTATTTTGGTAAACTTTACATTTTTCCAATTTAAAATGTAAAATCTTTGTTAAAATTATAACTTGTTTTTTAGATTTTTTTTACAAATATATAATAATAAAGACAACTTTAAATTATTTTTTACTGTAGAATTTAAACCAAAATGTTTCCTAAAGAAATAATTTAGCTATATTAACTTGCTTCATTTGAGCTTTTAGTAACTTTTTTATTGAGTGAAATTATTCTAACATTAAATTGCACCATTTTCTTGTATTTCAAAACAGGAAGGATATGGAGTAATAGTACTAAATCCCAATGAAAACTACATTGAAGTAGAAAAACCGAAGATACATATACAATCATCTTCTGATAGTTCAGATGAACCAGCAGAAAAGCGGGAAAGAAAAGATAAAGTGTCCAAAGAAACAAAGAAGCGACGTGATTTCTATGAAAAGTATCGTAACCCCCAAAAAGAAAAAGAAATGATGCACTTGTATATCAGAGTAAGCCAGAATACTGCTTTCCTTCATTCTTTCCTTTTCTTTATTCATTCTGTAGCTCATATAAATTGTGGATTATTTTTTAAAGCTTAATTGTTAGCTATTTGTTCTCTATAGCTGTCCATTTTGATGAAATGTTTTTATTTTTTATTTAAAATTATCAAACATGTCATTTTTATTTTAGTGTGATGTTTTATAAATGCCACAAATTCAAGTACTATTTTCTTTTGTGTCCTTTACTTCTCCAAGAAAGGATTTTCTAAAATAACGTTAATGTGATAGATGCAGAAAGAAAGGAAAACTTTCTAATCAAGATTTTCAACATGCCATTTCTTTAAAGTCTTAAGCTGTTTTGTTTTTCATGAGAGTTCACTTAGCCTAACATTTTAAAATATCCTACCTGCTGAATTAATAATTCATGTGTCAAGCAGTCTTTATTTTGGATTGTAAATTTTACTAGATAATTCATTGTTTTCTTATGAGCAACTATTTATTCATTGGTGTCTCAGTCTAATTTCTGATAGTAACAAGAGGAGGAAGAGTGAGTAATATCCTGATAAGTATTTAAACTAAAATAGTTTAGGGATAGTGTAATGAGGAGACTCTTGTCCTTTGCTCTTGTCTTCCCCCGTGAGCCTTTGCACTTTGTAATGCTAGCAGCATGAAATTATAGCAGATGCCCAGGGACATCCAGTTCTGTAGGGGGCACAAACAGTTGTATCTGTATGTTGAAATATTATTTCTGATAAATATATGGTATATTATATACATAAAACAAATTTGAACATTTTCAAAGCCTATTTTATGGATACTTTAATTTGACAGTAAAGTATGTGAAAATGCTGCTGAGTGAAGTAAAACAGCAAATTTATATGTTTTTCAAATATGAACAATTTAGAACATTTAAACAGATAACTTAATATTTGTAAATTACCTTGTAAATAGTGACATTTCACAATGTTTTACTTCAGCTCTTTTTATGTTTTATTTTAAAGATTACTAACATATTTCTTTTTATCTTTGAAAGGAAATAAATAGTTTCCAAGTTTTTGTTTTCTTTATTGTACACTGGTTTATGGCAAAATGATCCTCTTTTTAAAATTGTACTTCAAATAGTCAGTACATTAGGCAATCATTCCATGTGAAAGCAACATATAACTTCACAAGATCTCTCAAAATGTATCCTGACCAAGAATATCCACAACAGTTCATTTGATGAGTTATATCAGAGTCAGATTCTAATATTTTAAATTTTAAAACCATCTCCCTAATTAATAATTATTTGAAAAAATTATAAATTTTGAATCAATAAGTAACCTGTTGTTTTAATGAATCTACATCATCATGTGTTGTTATATCTTATTCTATTTTTAAGCTTCCTACTATGTCATCCAGCTTTTAAACTATTATTTTAAGATAACATTGCATTTTTAAAATAAATTACTTCTAATATTTAGCTTCCAGAAGTAAGTATTGTTGTTTTTGAGATATACAAATCATGAAGAATATTTATGTGCCTACATGCAAACAAAAAATGATTTAGTATAATAATTTTATTTCTTCTAAAAATACCTTTCATTCACCTATTGTAGTGAGATACATAAGGATATATCTCAAACATCTCCCTGTAGATTCATTTTTTCCATTCTATTTTCTTTTTGTTTTATCACCATTGCTTTTATTTTTCCTTTTGTTGTCCTTTTTGTGTGCATTTGCTTTATCCTTTTCTTCGCACCTGCCTTCTTGAGTCTTACATCTATTTTTTACTTTGCAAAATATCTTACATTGCTCCAATAAGACCAACTCTTTTTTTGTTTTGTTAGCACATTTCTTACTTTTACATTTCTGCCACTTTTTGTTATTGTTTTTATGTCTTTCTTTCTTGCCCTATTTTACTCATTACTCTGGATTCCCGTGGAAAGCACTAAATATAAAGTAAGCTCATCCAGATATGATAGATTTAGCTAATGAAAACTTTTTTAATAAACACCTGATTTTTTTATAAATCTGGAATTGTACAAGAATAACACAGATTTACTGAAACTCTTACCTCTAGAAGATAAGACTTGGTTCTACAGTGGCAAAGTGAAAAGCTTAGGTAAATTTCACTTACTCAAGAAATAATTTTTCTCTATATACATTTCTAAATATTGTAGTTTTATATTCAGAATATGATATACCGTAATGGAGATAAATTTATTTTTATTTATATACTTCTTAATCATTTATGTTTTGATATTCTCTTCTGTACTTTGTAATAACCCAATAACTAGGAGGATCAAGTCATCATATTCACTTTATAGTTAAGGAATTGTTTATCTAATATCACATAGCTAGTAAATGGTAGAAATAAGTGTTGAAATTGTATTTCTCTTGTTTTTATCCCTTTCCAGGTTAGTATGTTGTTCTAACAGTAGAAAAAATGTATCTAAAATATGAACATTAAACCACATATTACTTAGTAACATTTGATGACAGATGACAAACATCTATTTTTGAGCAGTTATAAATCATACTTATCTCTATAAACTATATATATATATATATATATATATGTATGTATGTATGTATTCTCTCTTAATGGGATTTTATTTGCAGATGAAAAAACTATGGATCAAAACTTTTAGCATTTTTCTCATGGCCACATAATTCTTAATATAAGCTGTATCAGGGCAAGAATTTAGTCTTTTTGCTCAATGTTATGTCTTTCACCCTAGAATACACAGTTCATAATAAACATTTGGACTTTCCTGCTCAGGCTGGCTCTGAACTATGATCCTCAATTCTCAGGCTAAGATTACAGGAATGAGCCACGGGAATCCGGCTTGTGAGGTCATATTGTAAAAGGCAAGACAAAGTGCACACATTGCCTTTGTAAATGGAGTTGAAGATAAATTATTATTCACATATATTCTCTATATGAAACCAGGCAGATCTACCTGAAACCCAGAAAAGACAGAGGCACTCTTGACAGGAATCCACAAGAATCTATATTCAATCCACCACAATGTTCGACAATAAATACACTCACTACCTAATGTATATAACTGTAACCCCTCTGTACATCACTTTGACAGTAACATTCAAATTTAAAAAATAGTATCTCTGAAAATAAATAAATAAACATTTGTAGAATGAAGCCTTCAAATACAGTGATAGATCCTTAAAATCCTAAACTACTTCTCTCTTTAAATTTTATTTTTTTGACTATTTATTGTTATTAATAAGTTGTTTAGTTATACAAAGGAGTTACAATTCCTTAATTTGGGTACAATGCTTCTTGGTCAATGTCACCTCTTCCTTTGTTCTCTCCCTATTTTCCACCTCTTGTCTCTACACTCAAATTACATGGTTAATTTTTTACATAATGTACATTGAATATAATGACTACATTTACTTACCCTTCTTTCCCCCCAGTTCTGTGCATTCCCCAGTTTTACCACTCTCTCATACATGTTTTCATTTCTTGGTATTCATTTTGATAAACAGTATTTTAGTTATTTAGAGGAATTTCATCTTTGATTCCTCTTCTATATATACTTTCTTTTAGTCAGTTTATGTGTAAATGCATTGAACCTTTTATATATAATACATAATTGAATTTGACATGTGAGAGAAAACGTGGACTGTGTCTCTCTAAACTTGGCTTTCTTCACTTAACATGATTTGTTCTAGGTCCATTATTTTCCTGCAAATGACATACCATTCTTTGTAATGAATGGGTGAATTTCTATGTGCATATATACCACACTTTTCTTGATCCACTCATCCATTATAGAACTTCAGGCTGGCTAAAACTTGGTTATTTGAATAGTGCAGCAATGAACATGGATGTACAGGTGTCTTTCTCTAGATAGATGCCCAAGAGTGTTATTGCTATATCATAGTTTAGTTCTTTGAAGAATCTCTACATTACCTTCCAGGGTGGTTGTACTAGTTTACGTGGAGTTTTTGTTCCCCCACATCCCAGCCAGCATTTGTTATTGTTCAAATTTTTGAGGCTGACCAGTGGTGAGATAATATCTCAAAGTTGTTTTGATTTGCATTTCCTTTATGGCCAAAGATGTTCAGCATTTCCTCATATGTTTATTGTCCATTCTTTCTTCTTCTTCTGAGAAGTCTCTATTTAACCCCTTTGCACCTACCTTACTAAAGTGTTTTCCTTAAAGAAATATTCAAACTAAAACAAATAAATAAACGAAGTCTGTACATTGTGGATCTCCTACTCCATTCAGTGGCTCAGATAAGATTCCAAAACATGATGTAGCATTTCATTACTTAGTATAGTTAATGAGCTGTGTATTTTCTTCTGAATACATTAAACTAGACTAGCTTTTTTCACTTTTTATCTATGTCATCATAGTGCTAACTTTAAGGATGAAATGGATGTTTCATCCTGACCATCCTACTGTGATTTACATGCTTACTGTGTTGTGTATGTTTGTGCTTTTTGGAATCTGTAGCTTTGCCTCCTGTTCTTCTCCCAGTCCGCATTCTATCAACATTATAATTTCCTACTGAAATATCACCCATTCCTCTTATTATAACCAATTGCCTGTTCTCTTAAGACTCATGAAGAAATTATAGTTTGTTAACTTATATGGAATGTATCATATACTATCTCACAATATTGCTTTTATTTTTTCATAGTTTTATTAATATTCCAAGTTTACCTTTTATATTTTCCCACTAGATCTCCTTGTAATTCTCTAAATCTTGCTTCATTTGTATTTGCATTGCATGATGATCCATAAAAATAAGTAGATAGAGCCACTTTTTGCAATAGTTCAGTGCATGTTGTCAGAGAATTAGGAACTGATTCTAATGCCCTGAAGAGGACAAAACCAAGAAAACTAGGTGTTGGCTTAGTGATAACAGATAAAGGGACTTAGAAGAATAAAAGTTAAGCCTAAGAAGAGAAAGACAAGGAAAAAGATCAGTTAATAGAACTTAGTACAATAAAGCTATAATATAGCAAAATGACTATGCTGATGGTTTGACAA